CAAACCAAACACTGGCTGTAGATTCTTGTTAGTTTCATGGCCACCGTATTATAGATGTAGTTTAATTATAGTTATATAACTTTGGCCAACTTCATCTTCATCTGTGGCACGTGTGTTTTCAACAGTACTGAAGTTACATAAAACACAAACTAGAAAGTTGTTCCCAAGCAAAGAGGTCAGGATTAAAACAGAGCCCACCAGTTGTTTGGGCTCTCTCATGCATGTTTGTATTATGAGAAGCCTTCTGGGTATGATGTGGCCTGTATTTAACTCTAACTAATTTTCGTGTCTGTCTAGTGGAAGGGGGCAGGCTGTGTCAACATGCATACCCTTGCATTTTTACCACAGCCTGCCCCCTTCCTGGTTTTTAAATGCCTTGTGTATGTCAAATGTGCATACAGGACACAATAATTACATTGTATATTCTACATTGTATAGTAGTATCACGGTTATGATGAAGTTATGTTTTTACGGGCCACCCTGGTAGCTCACCTGGTCAAGCTGGCGCCCCCATGTGCCATGCACAGGGACTCCAACCTGTGGCCCTTTGCTGCGTCTCCCCCTTTCCTGTCCCTCTTCAGCTATCACTATCAATTAAAAGCAATAAAAACCCCCCAAAAGTATTACTGTCTCTCTCTATATATGTAGAAATATGTATATATTTCTACATATATGATAATTAACGTATTGATCTTGGCTGAAATAAAAGTGAATGTAAGAAAGCAGAAAGGATACATTTTCTCCAACTAGAAATAACACCTGAGTCATAATTCTGCTCTGTTGTTATTCCTCTCAGGTCCCGTCAGGAAATACCCCGCTGACCTCAAAGTGAAGTTCCCAGACACCACTGCTCTGGTGGGGCAGAATATCACCTTGGAATGTTTCGCTTTGGGGAAGTAAGTGTGATAGATCACTGGTTACTGCTGGTCATTAAGGAGCACAGTTTGAAATGTGCACTGTTTGGACTAAAATGAAAATCTGGTATCAGCCAGTGAGTCTCATCTTCTGGGTTCCAAGTGTCATAAAAATGGTCTCCAAACTGAATTTAAATGAAATTGCCCTTTCTGCTCAGTAATAAAAAAGGAAAGGTTACTTTGTTGTGGCATAAAATAAATTAGATATAGCATATTAGTACATACAGTAGTACATAAATATTGACTATATATGAAAGTAACAGGGATGCATCAGTCTCAAAACACCATATTTGTTTAACCTTAATGCATAGTAAAATTATGTTTACTGTGTCTTAGACTGGCTTACTGCCTGTTCCCTGACCTAAATGATTTATAAAGTATGTTTCAGAATTATGATAACTTGAGTGCATTGAAGCCTGCCTTGTGTATTATTAGCCCCGTCCCTGAGATCCGCTGGAAGAAGTTAGATGGACCGCTGCCACCCAATCATGAGGTGCGGATGGCGGGAGCTCACCTGAACCTATACAATGTGCAGTTTGAAGACGGCGGCACCTATCAGTGTGAGGCAGTGAACGTGAGAGGAAAGGACTACCATACTGCACGTGTGTCTGTAGAAGGTAAGAAGTATGTTGTATGTCATGTCAGCCTTTTTCTTTTAAAACATATTACAGGGAATATGATCATCATCTGTATTATTAGTATTAGTTTTTGTATTACTGTGTGGGGTAAATTCACCAACCCCTTCTTATCAGCACCTGGGTATATTTTATGTATATTTATATTTTAAATAATAATTTAACAACTACTGTAATGCCTCAAGTATCACCTCATATCATATATTATTCAGCAGCTTTGTAGTTGTCTTCGATTTTACTCAAACTCTGTGATTCTGCTCCTTTGTAGCTTTTCCTGAGTGGGTGGAGCACATCAGCAGCACAGAGAAAGATCTCAGTAGCGATTACACTATGTCCTGCATACCCAGTGGCAATCCTAAACCACACATCCGCTGGCTGAAAAATGGAGAACTGGTAATATTCATTCTCATAAATCTTTATTGTCCTATAACTGAAAAATTTAGCAATTGCTGTAAAATGCTCACAGCCTCCCTGACAACTCTGTGAGGTCTCTTAGAACCTGTTCAGTGTGCAGCCCAGGCTTGTTACAGTAGCACAGCAGTGACAGGAAGCTGGCACTGTGGGTACACATCACGTCAGAAAAAAGTACCTGTTGGTATTGAGCGGGTGCCAGCATGGGTTGTGTAACCCTCCATAGAAACAACTGTCATCAAGCCTGGAAAATACCCAGGAGAGAAGCAGGTAGTGACAGCAGAGCGGGGGAGGGCTGTTTGATATATGTGGTTGGATACATCATTAAGCCTTAATGAAATCCTCTCTCAAATTATCTAATCGTCATCTGTACCTCTGTAGATATCAACAGTCAGCAGTTTGATTTGAATCCTTTGCTTAGTAATTCAGACCATATGAAAATGGTAAAGTGATGATATTTTAACGTCCTGCTCCTGTTATTTTCCACAGTTGGACAGGAAAGAGATGAGGTTCAGCAGCTTGACGTTTGATGATTCAGGAATGTACCAATGCATAGCAGAGAATCGCCATGGAATCATATACGCCAATGCAGAGCTGCGTGTGTTTGGTGAGTCACACTTTGGCTACATTCACAGCACAAATGGTTGCATCAGAGGTTTAAAAGTCACTTTTCAAGCTGACGAATTGGAGCTTATTGGGACATATCTAGTGCAATGTCATCATTTATTAAGAAAAACAACTTTTACATGCCTGAGAAAATCATAAATTGAGACTATTCAAAGTAGCATGCACAATATGTATATACGTTTGTTATGAATAATCCATACTGTCCCTCCTCAGCCTGTGCACCCACGTTTGAACACTACCCATTGAAGAGAGTTCTGGCAGCTAAAAACGGCCGGGTGGTGATCGAATGCCGACCCAAAGCGGCTCCAAAGCCTACCTTCTCCTGGAGCAAAGACACCGAGCTGATTTCCAACTCTACCAGGTGAGTCAGTTGTTGGTACAATGCCTTATACCGCAGCACCATTTGTTAAGGATAACAATAGTTATTATTTTAAATAATATTATTTTAATTTTTATAATAATAAATAAACTTGAATTAATATTGTAATGTAATAAGTAAAGAACTATAGTAAATACTTGATTGATTCAGTCTCATAAAATACACAAAACTATTAAACTTGTCAACTGGCAGGCTTTGTGGCTGTAGCTGCGTATGCTAACTTCAGCACATTTATTCTCGTTAGTGGTTTGCTAACCGGGAATCCTATGAAAAAGCAGGCTCTTGCACTTTGCTGTAATCCTTTCTTGACCTTTTGTTGGTGAGTTTGGCTGCACCAAGGTCGAAGGAGGAGCCTGGGCTCTCTTGAGTGCGAGTAAGTGATCAAAGAGGGAAGAGAAAGAGAAACGGGTGACTTTGCGTTTTGTTGCGGCTGGTCACCACGCCATCAGGGGTTATCAGGTCACGGTAACAGGAAGTGACATGATGAAGTCATAAAAGTGACATGATGAAGTCCTAAAAGTTCAGCTAAATCACACAAAATGAACAAATATATATTTACTGACTGCAGGAAACATCTGGGTCATATTAACACAAGGACAAGTATCTGAGAATGTCGCTACTTTAAAAGGGATCTATAGTTGATCCCCTCAAGAGCAGCAAGACACACACACAGATTTTTGGGGATCTAAATAAACTCCAGATCTCTAAATCTACTATATATGCCAGAAAAGTGATTAGTCTTGTTGTTTGTCAGTGATAGCCGTGCACTGCTTTGCTGTCTGTCAGTGGTTGACATTAAGCTCATCAGTGTGGACAGACAGGATGTGTAAACACTTTCCTTGTGCTCCTCACTGACAAAACAAGCCTAATCTGTGAGCTCTAAGACCCCCAACCCTTTCCCCCAACTTACACACCCCCATGCATCACAGTGGAACTCACATAGAGGAGGAGCACCGGCCAAATTACTATGCAGCATATGCCTCCTAATACTCTCTATGGTGGCTGTCTGCGTGAGAGAGGGTGTGGAGTAGTGACGGGGCAGCTGGCACGATGCTATTTGTCATGCATGAATATGAAATATGCAGAGAAAAATGAATCAAACATTGTTGCCTTGCCTTTAGCACATTTTAATATTACGTCTTGGTGAGTAGTTTCAAGTTCAGATACTTTTTTATCTCTCTTGGAAAACCATTTCCATTAGGGAACTTGCAAACATTCAGAGGACCCTCATAATTTTTCATCATCCACATATCCACGGAATAACATACGCTGGACTTGTGACCTTCACATTCTGCTGAATATTTTATATCATACAGCTCTTACTCGCCAGTGTTTGATGAATTAATTCTGGTTTCTCCTCAGGGTGTTCATCTGGGAAGACGGGAGCCTGGAGATCCTCAACGTGACGCGAGCAGATGAAGGCAGATACACCTGCTTCGCAGAGAATGACCGGGGAAAAGCCAACAGCACGGGCTCTTTGTTGGTTACAGGCAAGTTCTGGCTAATGAACTTAACTTATAACTATGTTTACACCATCTTTCCAGGACAGTGGATGTTTTCTTTGACTGATGTCAGCCTTGGCTGGCAATCGTTCCTGTCACTCTTGGTCCCACCAAACAGTCCCGACCTCCAAATGTCTGGTGTTGTTGAATGATGGCCCTCTGAGCAGAGTGACAGTATACAGCCTACTGGTAGATATTCAGTCACTCCCCAAGGACAGGGGTGAGAGGGGACTGCTTTAGATCAGATGTGATGAGACAAGGGCTTAGTTCTCGCTCTGTTCATAGAAAAATGATGAGAGGAATTGAGTTATGAACTTGTTGGGAAGGTTTGATTGAATAGCAAATAATAATATTGATATATGAGTTTTTTTTTCTTGTCATTTCATTTCTCTGGACATGCAATCTCAAGTTGATCTCCAGTGGTGCTGGATGTACAGCTCTTTTCTGCCCTCTTCTGGACATTTGTGCATATTGAACAATTCTAGCTATTTCATATTCACACCATATACTGTATTATAGAGTTGTCTGCTATGTCTGTCTCTCTGACTCTCTTTTTCATTCAAGTCATTTACTTGTATTTTTATTGTTCTATTAAATCAAATGTCTGATAACCTAAGTGAAGTGAGTGGCTGGGCGAGTCTCTTTCCTATGGTCACTGATCTTCTCATCCTCCTGTGTTTATCCCCAGACTCCACAAAGATCACCCTGGCACCGTTCAATTCTGATGTTAAAGTGGGTGAAAATGCCTGGATGCAGTGCGCCGCATCACATGACACCTCTCTGGACATCACCTTCATATGGTCCCTGGATGGCCGGGTCATTGACCTACACAAGGACAGTCAGCATTATGAACGTTCCCCGGTGAGACATCATATTGATTATTTTAAAGTGAAATTTCCATAAATAATTAAAGTTTAGCTTCATAGCCCCAAGTTTGCCCCAACAGCATAAATTTAGCTCCAGACTGAAGTTCATTCACATCAAATCATATTTGAGGTTGGGTTGATGTCTTTAGTATTTTTATTGGAATACCTGAAATGGAAAAGTACAGCTTGCTTTAAATGAGTATGACTCTAAAAGCAATTTCACATTCCTTCCCTGAGTGGAATAGTGCATTGTATATCAGTTTAATAGCAATTTCAGCTAACATCCATTATTGTTGACGTGACCTACTCTCTCTCTGTAGTGCAGCTTTAACCATAAGTTTGTGGTTAGCATTTCTCATTTGTTTCTTTGCCCGCTAGGAAAACACCATATTATGATTTTGATTGATGATTCCCCCATTTTTGTACACAAGGAGGATTTTCCCCTCGTAAAAATGAGGTCCAGTTCCACTTAATACTGTTTGTGTGGTATTAGCAAAGCCAGTTTGACTCTCAAACAGTGAGTTCAATGCAGTCATGTATTCTTTAAGTCAATTTTTGGGGTGGTTTTACCTTTCTACAGTGAGAGTGCTGACTAAAACAAACAATGTGTGCCGCTTGACATTTCTTCATAGGAAAAGAGGTGGTACCCCTTTAGCTGAAGCCAATGTCCAGGTCCCGTAATTCAATACTCTGGATATCTCAAGTCCCTCTGGTCTCTACCAATTACTTAAGTAATTTGAAATAGTATCTCCTTTTCCATTTTTCAAATTGAGTTTCAGGTTGAGAGAGAAAACATCTAATGATAATTTTGCTTTGACAAGCACACAGTGGAAAAGCTTTGGCTCATGATGTATGATAATTTGCTGCCTCCTCCTCCATGGTTGTCTTTTGTGTTTTTCGTGCAGAATGGAAGTTCAAACGGCGAGCTACTGATCAAGAATGCCCAGCTGAAACATGCTGGACGCTACACCTGCACCGCACAGACCCCCATTGACAATGTTACCGCCTCTGCCCACCTGGTTGTCAGGGGTGAGTCACGAGTGGTGCAGTAACAGTACACATATGCATACAGTCATGTAAATAAAATGTTCTACGTACAGATATGTGGATGATATAAAAGGCTATGAAAACATGTTTTCTCAATTAGCTTCTTACTAGGAGAAGTATGCCCCTACACAATCCTGACACATTAGCTGACTTTTTGAGTGTTAGTCTTTTGTTTTTTTAAACTTTGATGGTTGCTCATTTATGAATATTTAATGTTGTAGAGAAATAGAGTTTTTTAGGGTGATTAATTCTTCAGAGCCTATTAAACTTAACACAAGACTTTTAAATTATTTCTCAGTTCATCAGGCTCCTATTCCTAAATTACTCATTAAAAGTGAGAGCATTTGTGTTCGTGAAAAAAGAGAAACAGAGAGAAATAGCACAAGTATTGTACATTCTCCAGGGCGTGTTTGGAGAGAAGCAAAATCTCTCCAGAGCAACCAGACCGTTGCCTTTTTTGCCACATAATCTGTCAACCCAGAGACATGCAAAAGAAAGTGAGAGAGAAACTTCTGCAAAAAGCTATGGAAGGAAAGGCTTTGTGTGCAGGGGACACACACAAGGAGCACTAACTACGTACCACAGAGGAAAATGTAAAAAAAAAATCTCCTTTGTCCAGTAAGGCAAAGCAACTTGCAACTGAACAACATGCACCTTATTTTTTGCAGTAAAGTTTTTCATTTTCTGGGAGTCTTAATAACGGTTGCGGTTTCTGTGGTTGCATTATTAGAAACAGTAGTAGAAGTGTATTGAGTGTCTTCCACTTGTCTCCAGTAGAACTAAATAAGCCGGGATTTGCTCGACATTTCTGCTTCTTAAAAGGACGTTTTTCCTTGTCAATGTCGCTAAGTGCTTGCTCACAGTGTGAACTGTTTGGTCTCTGTAAATAATTTTATAAAGAGTACAGTCTAGACGTGCTCTTTTTAAAAAAAGTGTCCTGAGTTCACTTTTGTTATGAATAGGCGCTATACAAATACATTTGAATTGAAAGTACTCTTTATAGAGCAATGAGAGCTGTTGGAAACACAGCAATTAGTATGTTTATGTGTATTAGTTGTGTAGTGACATGTGATGAGTATTTGATGACTAAACCGTGTAGAACATCATAGATTTCTATCTTTCACCAAAATATTTTGATACGGAGTGCTGCTGATTTTACTACTACTTACCAGCCACATGCAGATATCAACACGCACAAAATAAATCCTGCCAAACATCCACAGTGCTGTCTGTCATTTACTGTATTTCACCTCCTGGATGATTCATCAGGCTTTGTTTTCACCCTCCACTTCCTGATGAGTGAGAGCTTGCCTTACAGCCCTCCCCTCAAGTCTTGAAACAGGCCCAGTGTTGGTGGACAAAGAGTCTCTTCAGATAGGAACCCAAGAACTCTAGCAGTGATCTGGTTGCCAGTGATCCCTGTTGTGCCCTGGGTGTGCTGCCACCGTTGCTGCTTTCTGAGCAGGTGTTGACAGATGGCCAGGTGAACGCACAGCGGCTGACTGTGACGTTTCCCAGAGTGGAACCAAAACACAGGCCCTGGGCCGCTCCTAATGGAGTGCCAAATGCCAACAGTCCGGGGCGCAGCGAGGGAGAGATGAAAGACAGCCATTTATCACGGCAGATGAGGAAGCAGATCTACTTCAGGAGATTGTCTGACCTAAAAACACAGCTCTGCACCTGTAGTCTGTTATTAGTACGGATTTGAGATAGAGAGAGGAGCTGTTTTCATATGACGGGTGTGTGTGTGTGTTATTGTAGCGTTACGTTACAGTCTTGCCTGGAAAAGTGTTGAAATGGGGCTGTGTCCATGAATTAGAAAGACTTTTCATTCTTTATCGAATTTAGTTCTTGGGATACAGTACGTCAGTTAGTGAAAAACACTGAAGCCTATCTGTTTAAACACATTGTGCTAAGCATTTATATGACACAGTGTTGTATAGACATGGAAAATCTGCACAATATTTCATCCCTTACATTGAATTGTAAAAGAAAAATGTAGATTTTTCAGTACTTTGCTTTTTCTCCTGACTCCTAGAGGAGAGGGGAATCTTAAGGGCTGTCCAGCTTTGCCTGTCTAATCGCCTTACTTGTCTCGGCTCATATTCATGACTTGGAAAAAGTAAATCCTGGCGGATTTCTGAGGCTGTGGGTTGGGAGACTAACTCTGACACAGTCTGGATTTTCTATTAGGCCATTTTTGTGTTCCAACAGAAGAATCAAGAGGAGCAGGAGGACCAAGAGAAACATTGGATTCAAAAGATTTTGCTTGAGCTTTAGTTCATATATGTCAATGGGGTCTAAGCTCTAATGCGTTTATCCATCAGTCTTTGCAGAAGAGACTAAAGAGAGGAAATGTAAGGGCTTTGATGTGCTGTGTTTCATATGCATCAAACAGTGGCCTTTTTGGAGACGGGTGTTGAAGAATAAAGTTGTTAAAGGGCTCAGGACTTTTGCCAAGGATTTCCCCATGAGCTTGAATAAAGATAAAAGCTCTTTCAATGACATTATACTGTCTTTCTCTAAACTTGTGAACTTGAGACTAAGGGACAGTGTCACCATCTCAACACAACTGCTCAGCCACATTTGTATTCATCACCCATCAAACAACACTTACATTAAATTGTCTCTTATTCTTCTATTTACCCCAGGTCCCCCCGGTGCCCCAGGTGGGCTGCGAGTGGTGAACAAAACCCACAAGAGTGTAACACTGCAGTGGAGCCGTGGAGCAGACAACCACAGCCCCATCTCCAAATATACCATCCAGTACAGAGACTCCTTCTCAAAAGATGTCTGGAAGAATGCCACTACATGTGAGAATTCCAGCACACTAGTTGGTCAAATAAACACTCCTACCTTAATGCTGAGCTGTGTCTGGTGTTATAACAAATTGGGTCCTGCCACATAGTGATAGTGTAGGTCTACATGGTGGTTAATGTCTCTTAAAGATGGCTGCAATATAATTAAGTCATGTCTCAAGGACTTAAAATACAGGAATGGATTCCAAAAATGGAAGTTCTTTGTTGTTTTTAGGATATTTTTGTTAAACTGAGGGACAGCACAACCTGCTCTGTTTAATATTTTAGCATTCTGTGCTATGGCCTGAACTTTATGCATCGTAAAATGAAAATTTCTCTAGCTCCTGCAGATGTAGAGGGGAATGAAGAGATGGCCACAGTGGTGGATTTGTTCCCCTGGACCGAATATGAGTTCAGAGTGATTGCCACCAACACTTTGGGGACAGGAGAGCCAAGCAGCCCATCACATAAAGACAGAACGCTGGAAGCAAGTAAGATCATGTCCTGACTAACATTCAGTAACATGAGATTTATGGTATGAATACTTGAAAGGTCATGGAAATGTGGTCCCCACAGTCCAGATTTCCGTTCTGATATTTATTCTTCATCATTCTATTATAGCACTGTTTACTTTGTTAAGTATCGCTGTAGAAATGCGTCAGCAAAAATCCCATCAAGTTGTACTTCCTACAGCAGAAACATGCTGCCAAACTCACCACACAAACCTCTACAAATGAGCACTTTGCTGAAACTGTACACTGAAATTCAATTATAAAATGGAAATCACAGGCCTACTGTAACCTCTCTTAAAAAAATAATCATAATTTGAGAGTGAGCTACTAGACTCAAGGCAAAACAAGAAAACGTTTGCCTCTCTGTCTCCTTCAGTGGCAAAGTTCCCACACTGACATTAAGGTGTTGCTTTTGGCAAAGGAGAAGACATTGATATTGTATTTTCAGAGGAAGGATGTTTCAGTACAGCTGCCAGGGATAGGTTATACAGCCTGTGTGGGTTGGCAATGTTTGTGTAGATTTTCAGCATGTGGGCTCAGAGTTTTGCTGTTGCTGTCTCATTGTAGTTCCTGTGGTTGCGCCCTCGGACGTCGGCGGTGGTGGAGGGACTAGCAGAGAACTGACCATCACGTGGACGGTAGGTCTGGACTTTCCAATGGGCATGAGGGCGATAAGGGTCATACACAACATCAGAACATAGTAAGAAATAAAAAGACATGATTTTGATCATAAAAAAACTGAGAAAAACACACACCAAGTCCAGTGAGGTACTTGCTTGCAGGGAGACATCTAAAAAAGAGAATGGATAGCTGGATAGCTTTAAATTCAATAGAGATTGACTATTTGATTTTAAGGACCATCATTTTGACAATACAAATGAAACTAGGTGCATTAAAACAAATTAATCAAATTAATTTAAAAATAGTGCACAGAAAGACCCCTTAATGCAGAATGCATGTTTATGAAAAAACTATTTATAGACATTCAAAGGAAGCCAATGATAAGTTTCCAGTTGCTTTGGAAGATAACAGTGTAGTACATCAACAGATCAAATATATGTCAGAGAACATATAAAGGAACTGAAGAGCAAGCATTGCTAATAATCTCATACTTTTATACCAAACGATAAAATCAACAATAATCAATGACTAAACTGAATCATTATTCAGGCCATTTCCCTGCTGCAGCCAATGATAAATTAGCTCTCATGGATAAATTACTTTTTGCTTGGCTGAGCTATGGTCATTTAATTCCTGAGCAGCTGGAAGATAAGGCAATGTTTTTAGAGGTTAGTCGTGCTTAATGCAAGCAGGTCTTACTTGACATATGGGGTGAATAGGGCCAACAGAGGAAATTAGGCATGAGGACAGATCGAGAAAGACAAGCCAACAAAGTGTCACAACTCTTCGTACATCACTCACAGAATGCCATCATTGTTTTGAACAATATGTGACCATCATCTGATTACTGTAATTGGCAACATTAACTTACTTGTTTCATGTATCTGTCATCAGCCTGTACAGCCACAGTACTACTACGGGCCTAATTTTGGCTACATTGTGGCCTTTAAACCGGAAGATGAAAAGCATTGGAGTCTGGTGACAGTAGCTGACCCCGAGGCCAAGCGCTATGTCCACAAAGACGCCTCCCTCCCTCCATCGACAAAGTTCAACGTGAAAGTAAAAGCGTTCAACAGGCAAGGAGAGGGACCCTTCAGCCTAACAGCTGCCATTTATTCAGCACAGGATGGTAAGCACTGAAGAGATTCAGCTCTCAACACTGAAGTGTAAAAAGGGGAAAATGTGCCAATGTGATCCCAAAATGATGTCACGGATCAATCTGGTCCTGTGTTCTCAGTATGAGGAATTTTTCAATGTGACAGCACTTTCAATCTGTCATTGTCAGCTACTTATCTCTACCAGGGTTTTCAATGGAGTAGGACCCATTTAATAGGAGTTCTAATGTATAGTTGTGAGGAATTTTAATACCCCTTGAAAGTGAACCTATCTTCCCCTCTCTCTCTCTTTCCTTGCGGAGGGATTATCATGATCTATGTAGCATGAACCAGAAAGCTGATAATTCGCCCAAGGATGCAAAGCATTTAGCCTAGTTATTAACTTGCACTGACAGACAGTCAAGATAACCACCAGCAAACCCAGACATGACGGGTTACAGAGATGCCGTGTTGCCATGGTAACCCAATTTAGGAACCGTTTGCCGTTTAAGTGTCTATGATTTTATAGCTAAGCCTGCAAAGCGCTCTTCCTCCAGGGGTGTGGCCATTTTGTATTTGTGTGCACGCTGTTTGTGTAGTATTGTTTCTGGGTGCAACACACTGACAGTATGTGATGAGTTGTTGGTTCAAGACCCAGCATGATAGTTTAACATTCAAAGACAGTTTCTTGGCAGGCACAGCCTACACACAGCGTAGAACTTGACCATAATTCATGGAAAAGTGTCTGATGGCCCAGTAAAGCAATGTGGGCCAAGAGAGACTACTGTCACTTTACTTGTTCCTTACAATGATTAATTCACATTACTGGAACAATGCCCCTCTCCACTCAGAAATATGTTTTTCTTTTTGTTCCTACAGTTGAATGTTTGAGCTTCACTGTGCAGAATGATGTATGTGCAGAGTTTGACAATTAAAGGATGTTTTCAAATTCATCTGCTGAAAGTGGAAAGTTTCTCTGTGCTCTTTGATGTAAGTGGCGGGCCTACTGTACGAGCAGGATTTGTGACACAAGTAGTTAAGAAGTCAGTCCTGGTCCAGTATGCAGCTTATACAAGTGTGATGTAGAAACTCTGCCAGTGCACATACACTAAGAATGGGCTTGATAGTGAAGTAGATGACAGCAGGAAATGAAAATTTGCATATTCATAGATTCTGGAGTTAGAAGTAGTTGATGCATTTTTAAGGATTTTAATGTGTTTTTTTTTTTTTTTTTTGAAAAAACATCAGAGTTTTTCAAGCAGATTATTTGTATATATGTCTTAATACATGTTTGGAGGGGATGTTTAAGCACCACTGAGAGAAAAAATTGCATTCGTCAACAGACACAGATGAGGAACGCTAGATGATTTTTGATCAGGGTTATGGATCCATTACCATGTGATGCACAGGTATACAACTAAAAATATTATTTTTTAGATGAACATTTACCAAACTGTACTCTGTGTCTCTCTACAGCTCCATCTGAAGCTCCTAAAGCGGTTGAGGCTAGAGCTCTCTCTGCCACAGATGTCATCGTGTCATGGCAGCATCTCTCACAGAGCAGTATAGATGGGTACCAGGTCAGTAGAAACTTTTACATGCTGGTAAAAATAACTAAACTATATATGTGTAAAACGTACTACGGCTGGGATCATATAGCAGAACTTTTATAAATTAACACATTTCTATATGTTAGCTTTGTATTTAACTTAATTTTACTTTACTTTACTTTACTTTTACTTTACATTTCCCTTTCCTCATACTATAATCAGTTATTAGGTATAAGGTAAAGGTATAGGTGCTTTGTAGTTTATGCATCAAGCCAGTTTTGGAACCTGGGATCTGTTCCTGTGTGTCCCAGGTGAAGTACTGGAGGAAACATGAAGACTCTGAAGCGGGGGCACAGAGGGTGACGGTATCCGGGAGGGACAACCACACCAAGCTGGAGGGTTTGAGGGCCGACTCCAACTACCGTATTGAGGTTCGGGGTTACAACTCTGCAGGATACGGGCCAGGCAACGAGGGCCTCCAGATCCGCACCAAGAAACCCCGTATGTTGTGTTTTAACTTTAGTACTGAAGAGCAGAGACCTGCACAGAAAACAATCTCAGAGCCATGTGTAGTCGCTATTCACAAGATATGGGTCATGTCAATTATTATGTTATTCATTATCGTTTTTGTGTCTTTTACCAGCTCCAAGTAAAGCCCCCTTAATAACTGGACAAAAGTTAAAGGGCAGCACAATAAATGTTGCCTGGGAACATGTGCAACCACTAGCCAACGAGTCCGTGATAACTGGTTACAAAGTGAGTACAGTTCTAAATTTTTTACTTTAATACAGATTATAATCTCTTAACCTTACATTTCTTATACTTTATATGTGTGTTTACCTAGGTGCTGTACAGGCAGCAGGGCCAATCCTCAGGCACTCTGTATACAACCAGTAAACAGTCCATAGACCTTCCCCTGCATGCAGATGGGATCTATGTGGTGGAGGTCCGGGCACACTCAGATGGGGGAGACGGGGCTGTCGCACAAATTCAAATCACAGGTAATAGATGGACTCAACCATTTACGTCATTCACCTTCACCTTCCCTTTCATTCACAATAATGCAGTATTAAGATTGAGAAGATAACATTTGATCCTTTTTTCTTGCCATATCAATAAAGCTTTGGATTTCAACTCTCTCTTGTTGATTACTACTCTATCAAAAACTATCATAGTAGGCTAAGGAGCAATACATGAACAAATATTTTAAAGCAGGAAACAGTTATGGCACAAGTAGTACTGGTGATTTTTCTTTTGTTAGGTCTAGGTTATCACTGAGCCTTCCAGCTGTACCAGCTACTAACAGGCCACAACATACATTGAATGCTTTGATTGTCAGCAACAAGAAAGGATGCAGGCTCAGTGATCGCTCCACTTGACGTTGGTTTCAGTTCACTTAAATGAACAAATAGACACAGTCAGAAACTAAACCAAAATACTTTAGGACCAAGACAGTCTCAACAAAAGCATGCCACTCTAATTCGTTCCTATCTTCACTCTTTGCCTTTTGACGTCAGTTTTCCATAATTAAATTACATGTTAATTAGTAGATTTAAAAACCTTACTTATTAACTCACAATTTAAAGACAGAATAAAAAAATAAAAATAAAAACAATTACTAATTGTCAGATTGAATTATCTTTTAATAACTTGTCTTAGGGTAATATGATGCATCAGTTTATTAAGGTAAGATTTAGGTGTCAGAGTTTGTGTTTAAGTTCCTTTTTTTTCAGTAAATGTGTCCTTGTTCTAATAGTGTTAAAAAAATGAAAAGTGGAAAGCAGAAAAGCTGCTGACACTTTATGACAAAGGTACTATTTTAGAAAAATGATTCTTCCTTTCCTTTCATTTAGTTTCACACCATAGGAACAAAAATAAAAAAGTTATCTAATCACATTTTAAATCCATAGTGTTGAGGTGACACACTGTGACTGTTTGTTCCTGGCCTACCATTTGCTGGTGAGATTATACCGGGTTCAAAGTTGGCGGTAGGTTATCATTTGTCACAGCTAGAGGGTTCCCATGGGCCGGCGCAGAGCTGTCACTTCAGGTTTCATACCTCAGATTGGAGGGCTAAGATGGGAAACTTTACAGTCCGTGACTAAAGCCTTGATAGCCCACTGACTTGATCCCCTCACTAGCTGATGGACTGACAGGAAGGCTGACTGGATAGAGGAGGCCTTAAGCCTCTGTAATTGATCTTGATGAGTAGAGGAAACCCCTCCTGGGGTTTTTCCTCATCCCTTATCGTGCTGTCCAGACCAACATGACAGCTTGATTTCACAGGCCCGGGAATTTAAGCCGTGCAGGATTTCAAATGCAAAGCATTGACAAATAGAGGGGGTATTTAAGGTGATCTCCACACAGATGTGGTATAATATCACACTTCACACACCAAATATGGTCTTTAGTTTGATGGATGAGAACGGGACACTCAAGGGACATGCATTTTATTTCCTCAAATCAGCAGCAAATTTGACTGATACACCTTTATCTCTTTGTGTCTCTCAGGTGGAGGTGTCGTGGATGCCCAGTCTCTCAGCGTAGTCACCCTGCTCCTGGTGGCTGTCCTCTGCCTGAACCTCTGAATGTAGCCATCTTTGTCTTCACTTCCCGTGAAGGAGCCTATAAGGACTTTGGGACTCTATAAACAAATGGTTCCACCCTATAACCCGGGACGTCATATTCCAGCTCTTACCCTCTGGAATATATTTGTGGAAATAGACACAGAAGTGAAAAAAAAAATTGGAAATGGACAAAGACATCCCTTATTTATCCACAAAAAGCCTCTTTGGAGGAGTGTCAAAGGAGTTCTGTCAACTTTTTAAATATGCCTTATATAAATGACTGCACCTATCTTTCACAATAACTTGTTTCAAAATGGATCATGACTGAAAGTGCAAACATTACACTTTGCATAGGTTGGCTGTATTTTTACATCATGAAGCCGACCTTTCTTACATATATAAAGACGCTGTTTGTTTGGAAATGTAGGCTTCATTTGATTTGTGATATTTTGAAAAATCTACCCTACAGTGCATTCCATAGTATAAGGTAAACAATAAGTTGTGAAGGATAAGTGTATGAGTTTATAAAAATGTCTTTATGTCTTTCTTTACTTGCTGTTCAGTGGCATTGTCTTCTACTTTCTTTTTAAAATGAAGCACACCTTTTGTTACAGAGATACAGTCAAAGCAAATCTCATCTTCTCATCATATTTGATTTTATTAACAAACATAGAGGGAAAAGCAGGTTATGTCATGCAGAAATAATATATCCAATAATTGATGTGCTTTTTTAATCTAATATACTATGGATGTTATTTGAAATAACTAATTTTGACCTGCAATCAATGCTTATTTCCAAATCATAACATAAGCTATATGAATAGAATACCACTTTGAAAAAAAATGTATGCATGTTGACATTGTTACATGGAGCAAATGTTTGAAATGGTTCAAAAGTGTGAAGAGTTGAGTTGAATGTAAAGCAAACCATATGAACAAGAAATGAAATGAACAACATATCAGACATGCAGTTTCAAATGCAAAACTGCAGCAAACAATGTGTGACAGTTAAGTGGTTATTTTGATTGCTTGCCACCTCTGGTTTTATCTGTACAACTGTGTAGTGATCCTGACTTTGATGCAATATCTTGCTCAGTATTGAGACAGAAAACTGCTCCATGTTTGTGAACTAAACCTAAACTAAAAAAAAAAAAAAAACTTTTGTTTTGACTGTATCATTAGGACCTCAGTGGTACCCACTGGTGCTTTGTAAAGAATGTTGGCATTTTATTTAGTGTAAACATTTTCATTTCATCTCTCTCGTTTATGGCTTTGTGTGACACTCATGCCCTCCAATAATTGTGCAATGTCTGATTCATCTGTGGCTACTTTATCATTTCTAATAAGACAACTTGCCTAGCTCCTATGACAGTGATCTAGTATATTTCATTTTTCATTATCTGGTATAAACAGAATCATAAGCAAAGCCATCCATGTCAGCGGTAAGAGCCAGTCCAAAGCTCATGACGTGTCCACTGATTTTTTTGGCGTCTTTTTATTAACATGTGATCAGAGATATATAAACATTACCAACTGTTGTCAGTTTTGTTTATGATTATTATATTTGTATGTCATTATGACCCACCTCTAGCTGGACAGTTAAAAAGTTTATTTCCTTCGAATGGGGGAACAAAGGCTGTGTTTTAAATTCCTCCGATTCATTTCTTGTATGACTGATGCTGGCCATGCTTCTACATTGTGACTATATCAACATCCACCACAAAGTGCTTTTCCCAGTTTTCCTTCATGCGACAAATCATAAAAAGAGTTGCCAAATGCATGAATGCCTTGAACTTTGACATTTTGGACGAAGAAGTGGCTCTACATTTTAACATGCATGAGACAAGGTGGCTCATTACTTTGCAACAAATCAACGTCATAGCAACTTCTCAACCTCTCAGCTTCATATGAAATACATTCCATTCCTGAGTGACATCCCTTTACGTCAGAGACAGTGTAGATGTAAGCCTAATACATGCATTAGCTGCTAAGCTTCATTAAGCCAGTCATCTCATGAGGGGGAGGATTTTTAGGGAGAAAATCTTAAACTGACTAAAGGAATCTCACTCATTTAAGTTCAGAAAAGGTCCTGCAGTCCCAAGCACATGATGGTTGGGATTTGATAGCATCACTGTTGGCAGTGGCGGCATGCTTGCTGATGTTCAGCGCTTCGCTGGACTTGAACGGCACTTGTGAGGGATGAAACTGGAACCTCTCACTGGCTGGACAAGGAACAATAAAAGTGTAGTTAACTATTAAAGTGCTCTGGCGTTTTCTCTGTTGTGTTGCAGTGACTTTTCTGACATGTGAGTCTCAGGGAGGAGTACTAAACAACGTGAGTTTACTGTAGGAATGTGAGAATATATCGCAGTACAAATATGTGAAGATTCAAATTGCGAGATGAAAAATCAATGTCAATAATCTTTTTAACAGCAGCTACTTTCGACTTTGCTTGTTCAACGTCCTACATCAGTAATTGGATCTAGGGTTGGGTAAAATATTGTACAACGTACTTGGTTACATTCCACCAATGATTTGGTTAATCACATCACACATTTACAGTCATTTTATTGCATTAATGTACAAGAATAGTTGTTGGACAACATAATATAAATATGATAAATATACCAATACATTTCAGCCCAAGTCTTACCTTTGCTATGATAAATCTCTGTAGAACAATATTAATCATGGCAAAAAAATCGTACTACGAGGTACTCATTTATTATCTGTTCTAGAGCTTTTGATCGTAACACTTGATTTTCATCAGCAAATGGAGTTTGGCCAGTTGTAATGGAATTGTATATGTTAAACTTACATTTCGTCGGTGCAAAAAAGTTGAGGTCCAAAGTTCTTTATTGACTTTGGAAAACAACAGTTGAGAAAAAAGTCTCAGCACAGGGTCCATTTAGCAACTGGTCTGGAGATTTCAATCATATGACAACATCATATTAATTTATCATAATAATTGCACTGAATAAGGATTGTGTAAATGTACCCCATTTATTATATTGCACCGTAGATTAACAACTGAAAGTGATGCGAACATATACCAGTTAAAAGTCAATCTGAGTTCACTTGTCAATGAATTATGAATTGAGTCTGGTGTATTGCCAGTCTTAAATAGTGTTCAGTCCATCCATGAAAGTCAATGCAGAAACCCCAGCAGAATATTTCCAGTTCCCTGTGTCCGCAGTTTCACATTACACACATACACACAAAGAAGTAAGAGCTGTAACAAAGCTGTAAGAAATGCTCTCAAATTCAGACAGAATCTCCACTGGGGTCGGACAACTGGTGGTCTCAAGTGCTTTTTGCTCTGCCCTAAGATGTGCCAAAGCGCTGACACTCCTGAGATGGATTTAAATAAAAAATTCTCCAAAAGACAAGGAACAAACCCACTTGATCACTTGTGTCCAAAGTCATTGCTGCCATGGGATTAAAGCATTATACACAGAACTGTAACTTTAGGCTGGTTATGTGTGAAATATTCATACCAGTGTTTCAGCTCTCACATACCAAATACTGTAAGAGAAACTAGAGCGTCATTTAAGATTCATGAGTACCTTCCATGATCAACTAAGCATTTGCAACAAGTACTCAATTTATTTTTAATCCCTTTCTCCAGGAGAAAGCTATTCTTTACCAGTACTAAATATATCTTAGATGCATTTCAATCTGTCCTCCATTACAGATAAGGGCAACTTTGTCTATGTCTGGTTTTTCAGGGACAAACAGCTGTTGTAGTTTTGTCTCCTATCAGGAATCCAGCAGATGAAAAAGTAGATCAATATCACTTCTCTTCATGGATTAGGACAGACCAAATGAATCAGATTTTAGATCCTTACTGAGCTTTAGGTTCATCTCTCCGTTTCAATCAAGGGGTCTCAATGGTTAATGGAAATCAGCTCACAGAGAGAAGAAAAGACGGAGATAACTTCTTTTTCAGTGGCTTATCAGTCCAAGCATATGGCCTGTGTGATAGGTCTGGTCCCAGGTGGCTCTGTAACACACAAAACACACTCACGATCACTGTTAAACCAGACTGATGCTTGGTTCAGTCTGACTGCTCCTCCACATCACAACCAACAAGCTGTAAACTAATTTGGTTCAGGACATATAGCTATTTTCTGACAGCCGGTTTAAAAAGATTTCATTTAATATCACATTATAAAGTAACACAAGAGCTACTATTTCATTTACAGTGATTGACAAGGGGAGAAACACATCATTCTGACCTTCTTATGCATGTGTAGTCTCAGACAGGTGTGCTGTCCCAGGACAGATTGTGCTATTGTTTTTGTAAATCTACACCTGTTCTTTGACAGCTCAGACAACGCAAAACATACTTTAAAGTGGTGCACAGCAGACTAGAACCAGACTGTTTCGCTGCGAGACCTGAAACGCGACGCCCTCTCTGAGATGCCTGCAATATGTCATGCTGTGTCAGACGGTAAGACTGGCCTGGACTCATGCAGGAAGGCTTAATAAGTGAAGGTCTCCATGCAGATATTGTGTTACAAGCCCGGGTTTATAGCTGCTGGAGGACCACAACCCCCTTGAGACATGCAGGTTTCACTGACATATCATGTCTGCATAACCTGTACCAGAGGAAGACTAAATTCATTTAATAGTGTTCAGAGGAGGCACAATAAAACGTGATCATGCCAACCATGATGTGGACTGTTTAAACCCTTTAATTGAGCCATTCCCATGTCAATTTAAGGGATCCGTTGCCAAGTGAATGGCTTTTGAATGTCAGTGAAGGAATGAGCGACCTCTGCTGGTGATGATTTATAACACACATCAACTTCCCAGCAAATATGCTGCACAGAATCAAATCAAACTGCACAAAAGCAAATTAAACTGCACTAAAACTCCACATTATGTGAATATGGCCTTACACCTGAAAGTCATATACAGTATGTCGTTCATGTGAACAGCAGGAGGCATACAATGACTCTGATCAGGCAGAGCAGAAGTGAGTCAGCAGAGTGAAGTTTTCTGCTCGGACAGATTTCACTCCACAGAACACCTCATGTCGTGCGAGAAGTGGCGCAGCCCCCTCAGCACCGCCTGAGCTGCGCAGACCGGTCAAACTCAAACTGCGCTCCTACTTTAATGTGTTCAGACTTGTAAAACAACTTTGTCCTAACTCATTGCACTGCGCAGGAAAGTTGCCTGTGCAAACTATGTGCGCTGATTGCCCAAGTCCTTGCGGAGAAAAGGACCCCATCTGCCAAGTTTTAAACTCAGGCGGGATGGAGCTGCAAACAAAGCCCGGGACAGGTCACCGTGGTGGTGAAGGTGTTTGTCAGAAGGGATGCGGGCTCTTGCTGTCCGGTGCGGAGATCGGCAGAGGGGAGCACTGCTGCGTGGACGCCCTGCGCGCGGTCACCGACGAGCTCGAAGGAAGAAGCGCAACTTTGGAGCACGAAGCCCGGATGGCGAGGCTCAGGTGGAACAGGAGGGAGCAGTCCCTGTTAGCCCAGGTGTCAACTCTGCAGAACGAGGCCCAGCTCGCTGCTCTGAAGTACCAGCGGAGACTGCACCAGTACATGCTGCACATCAACAGCATTGCAGAACAGGTCATTGGGTACTATAAGGTGAGAGGAATGATTTATTGTGTGTGCATGGGGTGCAGCGACTGGGAAAGTATGACTTATGATGCCACTTTGAGGCCAAGACTGGCATATTGAGCGAAACATGACAGGCTGATAAAGTTAAGGCTCCTCTGTGTTTGTTTGTTGGCTGAATTAGAGCGATTCGAGAACAACCACTGACATGCAGAGCCAGATGTCAGAGAAAGCAACATGTGCAGAGGGAGATCCACAGGAGCAGCTCAAAGCACCGGAGGTAAGGGAAGCACACTGCTCACAGCTTTTCAGTGTGTGTGTCCTCGTTTTTTAATTCCTGCTGCTGGGAAAAGTGGAATTTATGGCTCATTCATAAAAGTTTTACAACATAAGCTCCGGTGTGATATCCAAAATGCCCGCAGGCAGCAGTGCACATGCGGTTTTTATTTTCCTATCTGTCAGTATCACTGTGCCCACTGAGACCCTTCCCAAAGGTTGTTGATATAATGATTGTGTTTGAGTGTTTTTTAAAAAACAACACAAAGGCCTGCATCAGCATTTTGCCTCTTCATATAGTATTTTACTTGCTGCCTCCCCAGCTCAGGCTTAACCCTGCTGCCAGGTAATTCTTTGTGTAAATGTTGACTTTGGGATCATGGTGAGTTCTGTGATGTGGTAGCAATGTCTGAGTGAAGACTGCTTAAAGAAAGTAATCTCTCCTCAGACCCTGTTGTTTGTTATTTTGTGTGGTCTCTATTTCTCACCCAGAGAGAGAGAGAGAGAGAGAGAGAGAGAGTGTTTATTGACAAAGGAATTTAATGTTGTCACTAGTCTCCACCTCTGCCATGATTACAGCTTTGTCACAGTTTCTGACATCTGTGGATTTCAGTTTGTTTCGTCCATCCTGTCTGACTTGAGAAATGTGCTCTTTGTCCTCTTCTTTGGATCTCGATCTAATGTCATGGGTCTGGGTTTGTGTTCTACTTTTTTGGAAAGCCTTATCACGTTTCACTTGTAGCTGTATTCTAACTTTGGCCCAGCCTTACAATTCACAATACTGTTCGCAATATGATTTTCTCACTTTAAAAACAAAAAAACAAAACAGCAAGACTAATAATGACTGATTCCTTTAGTTCTCAGGCAAAAAAATCGACAAACTATATTTGCTCTTATATTTTCTTTATCAAAAAAGACTCCCTGTTTCTTTTTCTGAGGTGGGGTTGTAAACTATGCAAAACAACGCATATTTCTTTTTCTTTCTTAAAGTGAAACTGAAAATATAACCCTGCCTCATATCTCTTGCCACATCTTGACGTCTTCTCTGTTATCTTCTTTCTCATTTTCTGCCTTAGGCAAGCCCAAAAGCAGCCACACTCAGATTTTTAACAAGATGGTGTAATTTTAAAGTCATCCCTTGCAGCTGCCATTTTGCACCTTGATATTTGATACTGCTGGATATATGACGATTGAACTGTTTTACAATATATTGTTAAATTCCTAAAAATACTCTAAAATGCTCTCACTTCTGGTGTTAACATTGCCTGCTTGCTTCTGTGCTTTTGCATAATTTGGCCATAAAAGGCTAAACTAAATGGACATGTTTCTAACTGCTCATCAGTTTTTGTTGTTGCAGGAATTCATTTATTAAGTCTCCCCACGTGGCTGTCAACTCTAATAAAAGTGC